ATAATTAAAAAATAGTATTTACATATAAAAAAAAATAATTAAGAACAAAAAAAATTGTTTTAAATTAATACTGATTTTCATTATTAATAACTTAAAAATAAGGAAAATGACAAATTTTAACCTATTTCTTTAATCGTTTAAAGTTGATTGTTGTAAATGTTTATAGTAAAAAAAAAATTATTTTACCATAACTTTTAGCTCAATTGGTAAGTTTGACATTGACATAATTAAATAGAAAATTTTATGACAATTAAAAAAATTGTATCGTTAAGATCAATATGCAGTCAGAAAGTTTTATAATTACTATTTATTGTAAATTTATCAGAAAAGCTCAATATTTTTTTGCATTTTTATGGTAATAGATAACTTAAATAGAAGTAATAGTAATAATTTCCTAGGAACTTTTGTTGTTTGTTGAAAAGATTCTATAATTGAAATATTGAGTACTTAATTAATTCTAATGATTTATTTTAACTAAATGAACTAATCACAACAAAATTGTTAAAAAGATTTACTCAATTGAGTGTATTATAAAATTTGATTATAATTGTAAAAATCCATTGTTAATTAAGGAGAAACTAAAAATCATTTTTTTTAGAAATTATTTATATAGCAACAAGTTACCAAAAAATGTTGAATATTATAGTCTAGTAGTTGCACACACAAATAGAGTAAAAAAATTATTAAATTACAAAGTAAAATGATTTAATTTTGTAGTTGAAACCTATCATATCAAACTTCATTCGTTAATAAATATTTTGAAAACATTAGAAATTAATGATTTTAATTGTCTTTATGGAGACGATGTAATAACTAACTGTTTAATTGATAAATTAGAATTTTTTTTTCAATTTTTGAGAGTAATATCTTCAACTAGATACGAATTGTAGTAATTTGACGTATTGTTGAAAAAAGTAGGTCAAGTTAGAGCAGAGAAAATAAATGATAGTCACAAAAAAATATCTTCTCGGCTTTGCATCGAAGCGAAAACTTAAAATATAGTAAAATAATTTTAATACGAATAAGAAATTTCTTCTTGCAAGGGGCGACTAAAGTGATGGGATCCTTGATCTTTATTGAAGTAATTGAATCTAAATGAGATAAAAATCAAACGAGTTAAAAATTTATACTAACTTAAAAAGAATTAAGAAAAAATGCAAAAAATTCATTGCCATACGCGGGTTGGAACCTCGTACCCCAAGCGTGTAAAACATAAATTTTTACAACTCGGCAACCGTACGTCGCTACTGTCGAATGAAAAAATTGGCTATTTAAGCTAAATCAAATTTCAAAGTTACTTTTCTCGATTTAAAAGAATCAAACAAATTTTAATAAGTTTAACTTTCTATGCTATATAAATTTTTTATATTGACGGTAGTCATTTTTACCATGAAGACAAATCCAGAAGTCAAATTTTTTTTTTTGAATTAAAGTATATTATATAAGCTTTAATTTAATATATATATAAAAGTGTCAGTATTTTCGCAATACTTTCAAAAATTAAATTGAAAATGTCCTAGTGACAATACGCATGTTTAAAGTTTTAACCCTCCTTGTTAAAGGGGTATGATCCGATTTACAAAAAATGCGTGCCAGATGAAAGGAGTATATAAATATTAATTATAAAAAAATAATGATATTGATCCATACATTTTTCCAAAAATTATATAAAATATAAATTAAGTAATATAAAATCGAGAATTTTTTCACGGAAATCGTACGTTCATCTTTAAATTTGATGTCCGTTTTCACCACGAAGACAAGTCCAGAGGTCAAATTTTTTTTTTTCAAATTAAAGTATATTACATAAGCTTTAATTTAAGATATATATAAAAGTGTCAGTCTTTCCGGAACATTTTCAAAAATTAAGATGAAAAAGTTCTACTTTCTATACGCATTTTAATAGGTTTGCACCCCCCCTGTATAAAGGGAAAAGGTCCGATTTATAAAAAAAGTATGTCGAATGAAAGAAATGTATATAAAGTATTTATTATTAAAGAATAGAATTGATTCATGAATTTTTCAAAAAGTTATAGCATCATAATGTTAAAAAATGTAAAATATAATATCAAGAATTTTATCAAAAAAATTGCATATTTTTGCATACGGTAGTCATTTTCACCATGAAGACAAGTCCAGAGGTCAAATTTTTTTTTTTCAAATTAAAGTATATTACATTAGCTTTAATTTAAGGTATATATAAAAGTGTCAGTCTTTCCGGAACATTTTCAAAAGTTAAGTTGAAAAAGTTAATTTTTTGTAAAAAAGTTACCATTTTGAAACCCTTCCTGTGGGCTGTTAAAGGGTCAAATGTTCACAAAAATATATAAAATGATAGGTAAATATCTAAGGTATCTATAAAAAAAAAATTATATTGACTCGATCATTTTTTAAAAAGTTATGGCACTTTTAAGTAAAAAAAATTGAAAAAATATCGAAAATTAGCGATTTTTAAATTTGTAATTTTTTGGGGGATTTCCCCTGATTGCGGGGAACGAGGGAATTTTTTTTCAATTTTTGAGGGTAATGTCTTCGACTAGATATGATTTGTGATCTTTTGACATATTGTTCTACAAAATCGGTCCAGCGAGAGCTGAGATTGAGCGTTCACAGACACAAAAAAAAAAAAATAAAAAAAAACACATCATAGTAAAATTAATACCTTCTCAGCTTCGCATCGAAGCTAAAAGGCTTAGTTCTTAACACACATCAGAGAGAGAAAGAAAGAGAGCTTGCAAGCCAACGAATGAGCGTGCCAACGAGCGCCTTTCTTCTCTTTTGAAGTTCTGAATTCAATAAGAATTCATAATTTTTTCATCCAGTTTATTTCTCTTAACTTGCCGCGACCCTGTGCTGTCGTTTACGTTAATGCGATATTGATATATAATTTTTTTTACGTCGAGATTTTATTTATTTATATAAAAAAAGACATTATAGAATTTTCGTGTGTGCGAATTATTATAATTTCAGAAAGAGTTTCATACTTAACATTTTGACTTTCGATGATCTTTACACAAGCCATCAAAAAAGAAGTTAGTAAATTTATGTTATCCCAATTATTTAGAGTTAATAAATCTGAGTAGAGATCGACAAAGCAATAGATAATTCATTGTATCAACAATATAGAATATTATATTAAACTGGTTGGTTGAACATAGTCACGTTACATGGTATCTGTGAATTGGCTTGCTGTTCCGCTGCCTTAAAGATGTTTTTTAATAAACTAACATGATTTCTACTGTACAAGTTAAGCACTATCACAGATATTCGTAAACTGACTAGCCGTTTCGTTGCCATTGTGTATATTATTAGATGTCAACCAAACTATATTTTATTACACCTAAGCAAAGACGTATTGCATTTATTATATTTATATCTACTTGTCTTCGTTGTTCTAAACCGTCGGACCGCAGAACCCATACATCTTATAATCACAACCATTTATATTTTTTTAACACGCTTATATTAGTGTTTCACATGTATGTGTGATGTGATTTTGTAACTTTCTACGCGGCACGTGTTGTTATTCTCGCGTATCCAGTCGTCTATGACCTTGAGACTAGACATCATAACGCATTCACCCCACCCCACTCACCAAACGCAGGCAACACTAATCCTGTATAATTTTATATTTTTGGTTTTCGTTTCCGTACACGCATGCATGACATCAATTATGTATATATATAAACAAATTTTTATTTTGATTGACCAATACCGCCTGCGTGTAATGCTCTTTACGTATATATATTATGTATTCCTACCGCCGATGCCGCCGATTATACCTTAGGTATAACGTTCTCCCGCCCATAAAACAAGGCTATACCTAGTGCATGATACGTTAACGTTCTTATGTCGCCTTACATGTATTTATATATATTCTAATTACTATTAAAGATATACAGAGTGTTCAGTAAGTCAGGAAACGGGTTTCTATTGTTCTCATTATTTGTAACAATGAGAACAATAGAAACCCGTTTCCTGATTTACTGAACACCCTGTATATTAACACGCTTTATTCTCATTAAGAGATATAGAGTGTATTCATTCCGATTACAAAGGACGATTTCTGTATCGTCGTTTTCACGTCACTACCTCCATCTTCCGTGAGTGGGTAATTTACGCGCCTGATGCTTTCCTTGGATGTGATATCCGTTTCTCAGAGTCCCTCCCCGGAATCGAAACCTGTTTCCCCGTTACCCGTTACAACCATGATATTGATAGTAACTACTTTTATATCATGAAACTAAAAAGTAAAAATTAAATATAGTTAAAAAAACTAAAAAAACACGCTATTAAAGTACATCGAACTAAAAAGTTCAAAATAATTTTTAAAATAAGTTTAAAACAATAATGAGCGAAAAATACTAGTATTATTGTGATAAAAGCGTGGGTGCTTTGCGCCATATTTTTCGTATATTGAGCGCCCGACGCGCTTTTATCACAATAATACTAGTAATTTTCGTTCATTATTGTTTAAGCTTATTTTAAAAACTATTTTGAACTTTTTAGTTCAATGAACTTTAATAGCGTGTTTTTTTAGTTTATTTTTAACTATATTTTTATTTTGTTATTTTAAATTATAACAAAAAAAAAAAAAAAATCCG